GTCTGCCTTCCAACCCTTCTCTTTCGGCCCTCGGAATTGCATCGGCAAGAATTTGGCTTATAACGAGCTGCGCATCATTGCTGCTCGCTTCATCTGGAACTTCGACCTTGAATTGCAAGTCGGAAGTCACGGTTGGCCGGATAACCAGCGGGCGTTCTTCGTCTGGGAGAAGGACCCGTTGTGGGTTCAGTTGAAGGAGGTGGAGAGGAACTAGAGGCGTGTATTTGAGGTTACTCGGGATGCGGAGTGTGTAGTCAGGTGTCGTTTGAGGGTCTCGTTAGATGTTGTGCTTATGTTTGGGCTGCGCCGCCTTGTGTGAGAAGCGTCGAACTCATCTCCTACTCTTGGGCTTTGTAATAGAAAGTAAATATACAGGTGTTAAACTGCTTCTTTAAATCTCAACGTACGACGTTAATCTTTTTGGAGGCAAGACTCGTCGCAGGAAGGCAGGTAGCTAGATTTACAAAACATGACAACAAAGAGAACGACTGATGGAAGCAGAAACACGTGTGGTGAGGTCATCCATCCATATGATCAGCTTCAGTGCGGAAGCCACTATGTAGCCGGGACAAGAGCGTGCGCTGCTGAACAATGATCTCCGGAAAGGTACCTAGGTAGGTACGTTGGTCGGCTGATCCAATCAGGTCATGATTTTTTCGAGGATCTCACCACCTCTGCACTGCATTCTTTAGCGCAGACGAGTGCGTAGTCTAGGAGGAGTGAACAGTCATTTCGGTGCGATGACAAGGACTCAGGGCGCAGCATCGGCCCGCGCCGCTATTAAGCTTGCACTTCATCTTCTGCGCTAGGGATTGCAGTGCAAATAAGGCCACCAACTATGCCGGCGCTCGAGCACGAGGCTCTTTAACAGGGTAGATTGCTGTATGTGTTAGTGCGTCTTGCACTGCAATCTCTAGCGTGCAAGATGGGGTATACACGCATGTCAGTCACTCCATCTCCCGCGCTAGAATTTGCAGTGCTGTTCACCCACCACACCCTCAGCCCTGACGCATGCAGGAGGCTGCAGTGCTTGTCCAATTCCGTACCAGCTCTACTGCGGGCGCGCATCGAGAGTCTTGCAGTAGCACTTTGCACTGCAATCTCTAGCGTAGAAGAGAGGCAATACGCCTATGCGAGCGAATTTGCCAGGACGGAACAGCCCGTCTGTCGAGCCTGTCGCACCGAGAGAATACCATGAGTCTAGCTCGGAATCGAAGTTTACTGATGTATACGACGCGTTCGACTAGCTAATGGAATTGACGCGCACGCGCGAGTGTACTATGGTGATGAGTCTACACTGTAAACAGTAGCGTTGAGGATGGCCGAATGTGGAGTGTTATCAGCTGAGGCGGGGCGGCACGGCTCGCGGTCGATGGTGGGCGAAGCCTGGAACACCAACTATTTGTGCGACAGACCATGGATGGCGCCCGTCATAATGTGCATGTGCACTGCAATTTCTAGCGCGGAAGAGGAGGTAGAGCGCATGTGCGGCATGGAACAGCAGGGGGAGGGTGCTGCGCGCTGCGACCCAAATGCACCTGTGGACCTTGCACTGCAATCTCTAGCGCGGAAGAGTGGTGGTCAGGTTGAGTTGATAGTGCGATGGTGTGCTCACGACGCTGAGATTGGCACTGCGATCTCTAGTGTGAAGAAGGAGGATGTCTACTCTCAAATGTGCTTCACTGTTAGCACGCTCGCTGCTTCCCATTCCTAGAGAAGATACCAATCCATGGATGCGCGGATAGCCTTGCGAGCCCGTCTCAACCGCGGAATACAGCGAACGTAGCTGTGAACCAGAGTCTCTCGATATATTTGACGCTTTTGATTGCACATCGCAATAAGTTCATACATGCCAGTAGAATATCGTAGGGCGTGCACTGTGAACATTCGCATTGAAGTGATGGGCGTGTGAGGGCTGTGACAGCTTAGTCAGCAACGGCGGGGCGGACACGGGGTTGTGGAAGCATGGTGGGAAGGCGCCTGAGCGAAGTTCAGCCCCCAAATTTGCACTGCAATCTCTAGCGCGTAAGAGCACGTACTTGCGTAGCTTGAGAGGCCAATAGCGATGCAAAGACATGCAGGGCATTTCATTGCGCAGCGGGCTGGACAGGTCAATACGAGCTGTCAAAAGTCATGCCTGGGGCATCCACAGCGCAGGCCGCACCTACGAAGCACTGCAACGATCAGCGCTAGAAGGAAGCCATAATCTTGTCACGAACCTGCGCCTTCGATGGTAATAGCATCTGCGAGCGATTATTACCACTTGCTGCGTATTGAGTGTGCTGTGACTGGAACAGACACGCAGGAAGACGCATGTATCATGGAACGTCATTCATGCACAACGATCAAGACGTCAAGAGTGCTTGTAGGTCGATCTGTATTAAAGCAGGAAAGGTGTGGCGGTGCGATGCGATGCGTAGCATCCAGTCTCGAGAAGAAGCGGCCGCAGTTGCTGTTTGAGCGCGCCGTTGCGACACTGCACTGCAATCTCTAGCATGGACGAGTGAACGATGCCTCCACTCCGAATGGTGTCATTCGCCCACCACTGGGCATGGTTCCGTACAAGCTTCACTGTCGGCGCGCGTCCATGAACAAGAAGCCACACATGTGGCGATCAAGTGCACTGCAATGTCTGGCGCAGAAGAACAGCAAGAGGATAGCACTTGGCGCTCGTGCACTGCAATTCCTAGCTTGAAAAAGCAGCAAGACGCGTGTATACCGCCAGGACGCCGACAAGCAGATGAGCCTGTCGCAACCATTCTACACAGCAAACATAGCTGGTAATAAAAGTTCCTTCACTCTTTCGACTGAGTTGACGAACTAAAGGGTTTCGCGAGCACACCTAAGTACAATATGCTGAGGTGTGCAGGTGACTATCGGCACAATATCTTGAAAGAGATGGCCGAATGTTGGGTGTAGTCAGCTGAGGTGGGGAGCGGCACCCGTGGACGGCTCGCAGGCGATGGTCGACGAAGTTTGAGACCCCACTTTAGTGGAGGGGGTGCGCTCTGACTGGTGTGCACTGCAATCTTTAGCGTGGACGAGCGATTGATGCCTGCACTCCAATTGGCGTCATTCGCCCACGACTGGATCATTGCTTCCACGTGAACGTCACATATGAAGGACCAGTGGCGCAGCACATACCGGTGAAGGCTGTGTCAGCTCCTGCGATTCGTCGCACGAATGTGAGCTGAATACTGACCGGTTTATCGTGTCACACACGGTGTCATGAAGTCGTAGCAAGGAATGCAAGGCATTGTGGAATGCTGACACTGTCAGAATCCAGAGTGTGCACCCGCGGGAAGAAGGGAGGCTTCTATCAATCGCGAGCCACTTCATAGCCTAGCCCATTTGCATAGCAGGCTGCAGAAACCAATCGCGGAGAACATCATTGCGATTTCAACTGTGATTGTTGCAGAATCACCCGCGGGATATGTAGCCAAGTACGTTAATAAATTCGTCAATAATACATCCATTGCATCTAAGGTATGGGCTCGGAGGTGGTGTTAGACGCGCGGAAGCGATCGTGGCGACGCGCCTGGCGCACATCACTCAGCCACTTTGAATGAGATTGGCCCTCTCCAATTTGGTGTCCTGCAGTGCGCGCATATCCTGCTAAAGTCAACAACAAATCATGACAGCAGTCCTTTGATGTGCTTGCCTGCTCCACAGTTTGTTCCACAACGTAGCGTGTGACCAATACTGCCTGCTTCTGCCCAAGCCGCAAGGCTCGCGCAACAGCTTGGTTCTCGACCGAAGGGTTCCATTGGGGCTCGACGATAAATACGCGGTTCGCTGTCGCAAGATTGAGTCTGAAGGACGAATTCAACGAGGGCAGCCAATAGATCAGTGTGCCCGACTTACCCTACCGCGCCGGTGCCGGTGGTCATGATCAGTACTCGCAAATTGGGGTCCTCCGTGAATTGATGCAGGATACGTTCGCGTTTGGTCGTTGAGCATTCGCCATCGATTCGCTCGTGGGTCCACGTGTTATTAGACATGTAATGAAGGTAGCTCTGTAGCAAGTTCAAGGTGCGCGTCCAGCAAGTGAATATAATGCTGCGAGTTTGTCAATCGTGCCCTTCATCTGCGTAATCCCATCGCGCATACCTTTTCGTATTCCATATATCGACGGAGACGTCGTTCATCAAGACTTCCATCTTTGAAGACCGTCCGTTTGCTCGAAAGTAAGTATCTTCTTGTGATGCATCCATGAAACGGGGTGATTGAGTGGGCGCGTTCCACAGGGGCTGACAAAGGGGGCATTTGGTGGGTATCTCGTCGTTACCACTAGGCGTGCTCTGGATTAGGCATTGAGAGCACAACACATGCCGGCAATTCTCGGTATAGCGATGGAACATGGAGCCGCTGTTGAAAGCCGGCATCGGTTGCCGGCATACGGAGCAAGTGATCTCACCGTCTCGTCCAAGTGAGATCTCCAAAGCCTCCCTTTCATCCAGTAAATGCAGTTTGCGGCGATTCCAAGAGAATGGCTGCTGCCAAGTACCGTGGTTGCAGAGAATTCGTAGCTGAAGTTGTACTTGGAACATGCCCAGCGTACTCTTTTGATCGAACGTGCCATTCTGGTTGCGGACAGCTCGGAACATGATCTCTTTGGTCTGCTCGTATTGCAATCGCTCTTCTGATGAGAACAGTACATCTCTCACTCGATGCTGCTCAGCCGGCAAGTGCAGGACATCTTTGGTTCTGCGTAAGCACATAGAGTCCAGAAGACGAGTAAAGCGCTCAATCGCAATGGTACGTCTCTTACCGCCCTCATCAAAAGGTATAGCAATAGTCTTTCGAAAGTTCGACAAGCTGTGAAATGGATTGACTCTCAAGAAGGCGAACAAGGAGCCGATGTCCTCCAGGCGGTTTTGTATAGGCGTGCCAGTCAGACACCACCTCGATCGGGCCGCAATGTCAGCTACAGTCCGGTACAAGATCGTGGACTGCCGTCGTATGATGTGGGCTGCGAAATCATCGTCAATGGTGGGCGGTCAACGAGTGGTGGCTTGCTCACCTTCATCAATGACAAGACGATACCATTCAATATGCCTCAACTCGTGCTTGGTCCTGGCAAAATCTGACGCGAGCGTATGATAGGTAGTGATGACAAGGTCTGCCTCCATGAGCCTCTCCAGGGAAACGTGTCGATGAGGACCGTGGTACTTGATCGCTTTCAAGGCTTTACGGGTAGGCTCGTCAAAATGCCTTTCAAGGTAAGCAGCTGGAGTGTGTGCAGCGATCTTTGTGACTTACTTGTCCAGTTCCTGAAACCATTCATTGATCATGACTGCGCGGTCAGTCCAAGAGCACTAGGCTGTATCGCAAGGATGGTATACTCACGGTCCGATGATGCAACGATCAAGGTCGCTCCAGAGCGGCGTCTCTTCTTTGGTGTTTCCGAAGTCGGATCGTTCAGATCATCGATGCAGATAGCCCACTCGTGCGCAGTGTTTAGCGTCCGTAGTACAAGGGCTAGTACAGAGAGAGTCTTTCCCATCCCCATCTCGTCTGCCAGGATACCACCGCCGGTCTCCTTAGGCTCAATCATGGCTATCGAATTGTTAGTATGCTTCAAAATCAGAACATGTAAAGAACGAACTCACAACGTCCTTTCGTCAGAACATGACGATAGCTGTCAGTGGTGTCAGCAGTATTATGCAAGGCCGTTTGCAGGATACATACCATTGGACTCCATCTTCTTCGCTCGGCCTCCAGAGTGTGTACTCCTCTGGTATGGGCCCGTCTTCGCGCTGCATCATGAAAGAAAGTGCTGTCTTCTGGTGCCTGGGTCTATCAGCGGGTGATCGCGAAGCATCGATATTAGAGCAAAAGTCAGACGGAGACGAATTGAAAGGAACTTACAACAAAAGATCGGTGTTGAGGCGCTCGTCACCCTCTAACCCGTGCAGGTTGTGATCTCGCGTCAAAGAGGAATACACATTTTGGAGGGTGCTTCTCAATGTCTGCAGACCGGCCTTGTCAGGTAAAGGTTCTTCTGTAATGGTTGGTATCTCAGGTGTCGAGCCTTGGAAGCCAGGGAGGGTGAGAATATGGGGATTCTCGTATCGATAACCATCTCGTATGTACACAGGGCGTTGCAGGTAGATCTTTTGCTGCGACAACTCCTTGCCGATATCGCAAGCGGCTGTCGATGGGCCGTACACATTTATTTGTACCCTTACTACGGCTTCTTTGTCCTTCGTGGCGCGGCCTATGGTCTCCTGGATGACCACCGTTGGCGCGAAGACCTCCAGATCGATCTCATAGCCTTGTTCTGCGATGCTCGTTAACGCTCCGTCTAACTGGGCGTTCACATCCCCTACGACACCTCCTTCGGGGAAAGCGACAACGAATTGGGCTTCGGGTTTGATGATAATCATTCGCGCATGGCCTGTGATCGGGGATGATGCGATGTTGTTAAGCTTACGATGAAGCTCCCCCATGTCGCCTCGGAGGCGAATAGCGGCCCTGAAAATCTGGAAACGTATCAGCTCGCTGCGAAAATGTGACAATGTCTACGCAATTGTTGGTTCTCTACTTGCCATGCCATAACAGATAAATTCCTGCTCAGCTAGAGTCTGCTCCTCAGTGGACTCATGCGGCGCTTGCCCGCTCGTCCAGTCTTCAATATCGCGACTCGTCTCTTGAAACGAGCCGTGAATGTCGATTCCATCCAGTAGTGGGTCGCATTGTGCGTCCTGTGACCCAAGAAGTTCGTCCACGTATTCATCCCAGGATTGAGTTGGTAGAGCCGCTGTATACCTACGATCGTCAGCCCCGCGCCCGATAACAAAGCCTATATCGCATACTGATCCAAGGAATCTTGCTGGAACCAGTTCAGATGCGGACTGTGCCTCTCATGGTGAAAGTTGTCGACATCGTCATCGTTGAGTAGGTGTTTGAGCGCCATGACGCGTGACGTAAGCGCGTTCAGTCCTAGCGGCTTGGCAACAATGCCACCCGAGCAGATGATCAGTTCGCGGAGAAGGGTCTACTTCAACCGACTTCTAGACTACACTCGAGACTTGAGATTCATGAGACGTGCGAAAGAGGCGCTGCTTGGTATGCTGCGGATATGTGGTCATTTCAGCTCGTCGCACCCGGGAGGCTACGTTGCAGCCTCTCGCTGCGTCCTGCATGCCGATAAGCCACACGCACATCTTCAGCCTTGCTCCGCCCCCTCCACAGCACCTCAGCCGGTCACTCATGGCCTACGCTCAAATCTTTGACTGATCATAAGCGCTGTCTAGCATGGCGGCACAACCATCCCATCTTTGTCTGGCATACCCGAACTTCCACACAACGTTGATGAGTAAGTTCAATGGCGGGCCCAATACCGTCTCAATCGGCTAGTCGCGCTTCGACGGGCGCTCTATCCCAGCAACCGACCCTTGTCGGAGGACTCACCCCACCACGGCATGCGACAGGAACCGCCTTGACCCGTGCTATCACGCAGTTTCGCAACAAACTCACAGGCACGGAACTCACGGAGTTTAGCACGACGACGTACGATCAGCTCTGCAAAGCATTAATCCAGGTTCAAAATGAGCAAGAGCATCGAATGGAAGCGATGAACCTCGCTCGTGTCAAATCATGTCTGGAGGCCATGCACTAATTCGGCGAAGTCATAGAGATCTTCCTCAACGTTTCAGACGCGGTCGCCTTCGTCTGGGGTCCTATGAAGTTCATCTTGTTGGTGTGTATACTGATGGTCTATAAGGAGCGATGCCTCAACTAACGCACGGCATAGACAGCTAGCACATTTGCCGACTCATTCGAACAACTTCTGGACGCGTATGAGAGAATTGGCGAACAGCTACCGTTGCTGGTCGAATACGAATCATTGTTTCACAAATCGCCCCATATGATTGACGCCTTGGAGATGATGTATTTGGACATCTTGGAATTCCACCAACAAGCGCTCAAGTTCTTTTCGGGCAGATGTAGGCTAGCCCTGCCGGATCTCCGCGCATGCTTTAGCTAATGTTGATACAGTATGGACTCGGTTCTTCAAATCCATGTCAGTATCCTGCGTGCGGAATCCAGGAGAAAATGGTGCTAATGTTTAACTTTGGGATACAGGTGGAAGAACTTCCATACGAAGTTTGAGGGAGTTTTGAGTAGTCTTCGTCGACATAAAGACATAGTTGAGTGCCGTGCTAGTCTCGCCCAATACCGACTCTACCAGGACGACGTAGCCGACTTCCGGGCGAAGTTGGAAGAGAACGTCCAACGAGAAGAGACCAAGAAGCTGATGCTTGTCAAAGACTGGCTGGCTGTTGGAGAGCTACCTCGGCTCGATCATGAAAGCTACTGCAAGATACGGAACGAATGCGCGACCACTACCAAGTGGGTGACACAGCACGAGACCATCAAACATTGGATCCACGCCGATATCCCGAACAGTCCTGTCGTCTGGGTTTACGGGATACCAGGAGCTGGTGCGTGTCCTTACTGTATCGGCAGAATGATCCTGATTGACAATAGGCAAAACTATACTGACATCGGCCATCGTCGAAGAGTGCAAGACCAAGACTGACTTCATCACCTGCTTCTTTTACTGTCACGATGGCGACCCCACAAGTAGCACCGCGGTTGGTATACTGAAGGGCCTGGCAGATCAACTGCTAGATCATTATCCACAGATGCTGCCTCCCTGCTACACACGGCGCAGCTCGAGTGGGGAACCGTCCCTCAGATCTCCCAACCAAGCGAAGAGGCTTTTCGAAGATTTTTGCTTCACCATTCCCAAACTCTTCATCATCGTTGATGGGCTGGACGAGTGTGAAAGGGCTGAGAGAAGCCAATTGTTGGATATGTTAACCGAACTCGTAGGGCAGCGCGATGCGGTTGATCCGGGAACCATCCGCCTTTTGATCGCGAGTCAAGACCACGCCGACATACGGAGAGGGCTTCACAGCTCCGCAATCACCAAGATAGCGCCCAAGATGCTGCAGATCTCGGAAAAAGACAACGAGGGCGACATCAAGGCCTACACCAGGATGTGGGTAGATCGCATTGAGGCAAAGTTTCCATTATTCACGGAAGACATGAAAGAATACCTTCGTAACCGTATCGTGGCTAACGCAAAAGGTGAGTCGGTTGATGAATCCCTACACACAGTCAGGGTCTAATTCCAAGGCAGGCATGTTCCTTTACGCCAAATTGGTTTTGCTTGACCTTCACGCGTGTATGACGCTAGCGGAGCTTTTGGACTATATCAAGACCGAGAACTTTCCTCCCGGACTCGCACAAGCGTAGGTACACACCGAATGGAGCCCGCGACATCTTCTGGGCTCCGTGTTAGTACATTCGTTACGGAGATCGAGTGTTCATTAACCGCGTCGACAGATATGAACGGATAGTCACACGTGTCAAAACAAGATCTGGCAGAGGATGGCCGAAAACCAAGCAATTACTCGGATGGTGTGTCGCCTTCTGATCCCAGGACCTGCACATTGTATTCTGACCACGACTGTGTCTTGCAGGTTGGTGTGTGCCAAGCGCCGGCTTACTTGGAAGGAGATACAAGTCGCACTCTCGATCGACGTAGACTATCAAACCATCGATTACGAACACCAACATCTCCGCGATCACATCTACGAAACATGCGGCTCACTAGTACTTGTGAATGGCGACCGAGTCTCTCTCGTTCATAGCACAGCCAAGACGTACGTTAAACTGTCTGCGTTCGTGACGTGCTTATCCTGACTGGAACAGGTACATCACTAACATCACGGAAGATATCCACGAGCCATCCATCGAATGCGAGTTGGCGACGTTGTGTCTACAATACCTTACTTTTCCCTGTTTCGACGTCGACGATCCAGATGATCAAGCGCAACGCCGACGATACGTATTGGACGGATCGATTGCTTTCCAGGATTATGCCATCGCGAAATGGTTCCACCATGTCAACGCTTGGGTTGGCCAAGGCGAGAGATTCCTCGACGAGGCAAATGACGCGGCAGGACAATTACAAAGCATCTTCAAAGCCATGGATGATTTCATGACACGGTATGGCGACGTGGACTGGTCCAACGGCCTGGTGGACGACTGTAAGACCAAGTGCAGGGTGTTCGAGCATCTCGACCTCCACGATCATCTAGTGGAGCTCACAAGCCACATTTACACGTTCCAGCAGAAAGGCTTCGATGCACAACACAAGATCAGCATTGAAGACCTCTCGAAGGCCTTGGATCGGAATCGGAAGGCTCTTGAGATATTCCCCAAGAGCAAGCCTGGCCCAACTGCACACGAGAAGGAGGCATACAAAAGATTCTACGACGAGGAAAGGCGATTCAAATGCACGAGGATCACATGCAGGTACTTCTCAGAGGGCTTCAAGGATGAAAAGGCTCGCAACCGACACGTCAACATTCACGAACGACCGTTCCAGTGTGAAGTTCCAGATTGCCTGGGCGCTGAAGGGTTCGCCAACGCGAAGGATCTGGAGAGACACACACGCGCGTTCCATCCCGAGATGAGTGACTTAGCCGAGAAGTTCATCACGGCTACAACGAAACGCGAGGCATCGACCCACGCCTGCACGATGTGCGGAAAGACATTTTCGCGCAACTTTCATCGCAAGAACCATGAGCTCAGCCATCGAGGTGAAAGGCCGCACGAGTGCCCGGAGTGCGGCAAGGCTTTCACAAGGCTGAACGATCTTAAGCGACACCAGAAGATACACGATAGGAAGTAATAAACCTGGCTTCATGATAGATGCCATCTGTCGCTTCACTGCACGCTTGCCGCCAGCTGGCAGGCTTGGCCAAGTGACGGCGTGTCTTTCCCATGAAGCTGATGCGTCGGGGGCTGATTCGCGTACTCTTTTGACTCTTCTTGGAAACAGACGACATACAGATTCCCAGTATAGTACAGGCTCTGAGCCGGTGAGAGCCGGCGAATGATTACCCGGGGGGCGTATGCGGGTACAGGCACCTCGCTTCTCATCATGCACCGGTCAACAAGGATCTGTGGCGTGATCCGTCCTTTGTACATCCGGGCCTCTCTTTCGCGCTAATGATTGCAGTGCAAGAGCCGCCTATGTCCGGCATATCCAGTGATCGCCCCCAGGAATCACGATTAGTGTCACGCGTCGTCCCAGAAAGAACGACTTGGTGCTCGTGCATCCTTCTTATGGACTGGAGAATGCAGCGCAGCGGTGCTGCAGAGCTGTGAAAAGACTACCATGTTCTGCAGCCATGCAGCACGTGGCCGTGCCTCTGCCTTGTGTGCATGAATATGTTATGACGCCACATCATGGCAATGCCGCGGGTATACGATTCCCTAAATGTTCATGCTCTTGAAAATCACCAGGGTCTTAATTCTTCCAACCGTAGCTGCTAACGGCAAAAGGCACGCAAGGCGGCCGAGATCCGATCGCCAACTTCCCCACATTCCCATCGGAAAATGGCACGAGCAGCGGGCGCGATAGAAAGTAATGATTTTAGCCACGTGATAGCCAGAACACCTGCATCTGCACTACTCGCTGACTACCATTCGTGATCAGAGCCGTCATGCATCCGGAGCTTTGCAAACATATCAGGTAATCCTCTTCGCTGCGAAGCCAATGCATCATGTATCATACCTGGTGATAAATGCGCCGTGAATCAAGAAGAAAGTAATAGTCCTGGGACCGGTGAGAGCTGACGATCCAAGGCCCGGTTGTCCCGTGCGAGCGCAGACAGCGCGCGTCCTGATGCTCAGCATCTGACAGGAATCTAAACTGTTCACACTTTGTACGCCTGCGAGCTGTCTTGCGCGCTAAAGATCGCAGTGCACTGCCCAATGCGATGGTGTGTAGGCTGCATATGTTGTACCCACAGTTGCCACAGTGTCGCACCTGATGCAATAGCGATTGGTGTGTCAGGCGTCGTACCCGACAGAGTACGTTGGTGCCTACGCACTCCCATTTCGCACTGGAGGCCGTGATCAAGCTCTCATCTAGGGTTGAGAGAGGCTGACCGCGTTGTAGCGCGTTGCGCTCGTTCCGCAGATAGCTTCGGCTTTGTTTCGTGTGAAGATGCGACATGCTGGTATTCTCAACGATGGCATCGCGCTCAGGTTCACCAGACCCGGCTTTCCAGCTGCAAATGGCAAAGACGCGCAAGGCAGCGAGCGGATGATCGTCAGATTCCCCACATTGCAAAACGACACGGGCACGGGCAACGGGTGCGGCGGTCTTGGCGTTCCGGTTCTGACGGGAGGGAGGCTGAGCAGCCGAGTGGCGCTAGTTCACGCGTCCGTCGCTACGCGATGCTTGCTGCGCCCCGGTCAGTACCACCTTCGCGACTTTGCCCGTTCCTGAATCGTCACGAGGGGAACGGGTCAGCCAAAAGCAAGCCCACCTGGGCGTGCACACATAGAGTGTGACGGCAGCTGAACAAACATCACCAGGTGTCTGTTGGGTTTTCGAGTGGTAATTTGATTGTGTGTTCAGTGGTGAAGGCAACTGAACCATGAGTGCGCATCCAACACCTCCCGCAGACACTAGGGTCCGTCAAGACGTCCGAACTCGTTTTCCGCGGACGCCAGCAGGGACCTACCTGGCGGTGCGCAACCAGTAAACGCGCAATGATTGTTAATACGTACAAGTCACTCCCCACAGTTTCCAAACGTCATCACGTTCACCGTACCACTGCTCGGGGGTTCGGGCACCGAGAGTGCCTCACTGATGACCAAATCTAGGGGGCCTGAGTACACTCATCTCGCGCGATGAGCTGGAAGGGGCTTAAGTCGCGAAGTCCACGTAATGAGCACTATAGGAACGTTTGAGATGCCATTCAGGATAGAGCGAATTTATTTGAAGCCAAGATGACCGAGTGCGGGCTATGTGAGTTTGCTCATCTTACTGTGCGGAAGGAAGTATAAGATAGATCTCCGGCGTGTTTTGGTCGGATTCGTGCATTCAGTCTTGATCCAGTGCGACAGTACGACAGCAACAACTCACCACTTCTCCACGTTACCCTCCTCACATATCTTTTCTTCTTAGCGAACAACATGACACGCATCTCATCTCTTGTCGCTGTCGCGCTTGCAAGCGTTGGCGTCGTCAACGCCCAAGGCTCTCTCGCGAGCTGGCACCCAGCTGGCCCCGGAGAATGTACGTTCGATGTCTTCCCAACTGCTCACCACAGCAATTGCTAACATGTTCCAGCACGAGGCCCATGCCCCATGCTCAACACCCTAGCGAACCACGGCTTCCTCCCTCGCGAAGGGCGCAACTTCACGCTTCCCCAGATCAAACACGCCCTGGGAAACGCCATCAACGTCGGCGATGACATCTCAGAGTTGCTTTACAACTTTGCGCTGACGACGAACCCCGGCCCGAACACCACGACTTGGGGGCTTGACACGCTCGGCAACCACAACATTCTGGAGCATGATGCCAGTCTGAGGTAAGCCTCGCAGCCCTTTACCAAGTCCGCTGGTCGATATGAGGGCCTACACTGCAAAGCGCACGACTAACGCGACATCTCCATCTAGCCGCTCAGACAAGTACTTCAATGACGATGCCATCTCCTTCAACTCCACAATCTACGATCAGACCCGTGCCTACTGGACAGACGACCTCATCGACATCCAAATGGCCGCCAACGCACGTCTCGCCCGCATGATCGATTCGGTGAAGTACAACCCCAAGTTCGCTCTGTCAGAGCTAGCCGCGGACTTCAGTGCGGGCGAAGGCGCTGGATACATGCTCGTCTTCGGCAACAAGACGGAGAAGACGGCGAGGCGGGATCTGGTGGAGTACTTCTTCGGTATGTATTAGAACCTTGTGTGCTGCAATTCTGTGCTAATCGTGGTGTAGAGAACGAGCGCTTGCCGACGGAGCTGGGCTGGAAGGCCCCTGATGAGGTGATCAGCCTGGACGATCTTCTAGGCTTTTCCGACGACATCTACAGTGCGACTTCGTACGAGGCTCTCGAGACGAAGGAAGCCATGATGCGCAGAAACGGTATGGTGGGGAAAGTCTTTTAGAGTATCAAGCGAAGTGTATAGTATTTGCACTACCTAACGGGCACACGAGAACCTCTCTTCCGCGCTAGAAAGTGCAGTGCAGGCAAAGATATACAAGGTCTTGAGATTTTCGTAGGGCTTGTAAATTCGGGACTAGCGGCAGTTCAATAGACGTTGTGATACATCAGATGTAACCTTCAAGCAAATGCTCATGAGGTGTAATGTTGACAGGTTGTACCGCGCGCCCTGTGAGAGTGTGCTGATAGCACAAATCACTGTCAGACGAGGCGATGATGTAGCGAGCACCGGTAGCCTGCGCCGTATTTTGCTCGCGCGAAATTCACAAATGTCGCACTGACAGAATCCGCCGTTCCAGGAACGAATTGACGCGTGATTAAGAGAGGATGTCAGTTTGCTCGAGTTGACCGAGGGTTTCATTTGATGTGCAGCAGACAGAGTTCGGACAGCTGCGAATATGTCATGCAGGAGAGAATGTGATCATGTGGCTGTTTCATGCTCTGCTAGGGCTATGTAGATGAGGCCCAGTTGCAGCGCGGTCAAAGCGAGTGAAGAGGTGTGATCTTTGCCCAACCGGTCTTGCCGGCATTAATCCTTCTCGCGAGATCTTTCAGATTATGCACGGTAGCCATGGTGGATTCATCGCATCACCAACATCCCGAGGTGAGTTCGTGCAATGGCCGATAGATCGTCTTACCACTCACCCATTGCGAAGCCGCCAGTGTGCGATCCACCACCGACCTACTCAGACCCAGCGATGGGCGCGCCAGTCCATGCTTCAGCTCAGCACATGATGAATTACGGAGCGTTTCCAGCGGCGCACTACACCGAGTCACGGCACAACAGTCGCAACTCCGACGAGTGGACCCCTTGTGAAATGATCTTTGCTGTACTCTGGCTGTGCGGTGCAACCACCGTGGTGACTCTCGCGATTCGCAATGTTGCATGATGACGTTGGAAGACGTTTGGAAGAGACTTCGTAGGACCTTGGAGTCGGGAGACAATGTCGCGTCGGCGAAGTGGTGTAGGCTGGTCGGCTTGGAACAGTGCTGAGGCCGAGGCCGATCCATAGCCAGAGGCTGCGGCCGTACTGCGGCCCCTGTCTCACACCGCGTATGGCGGATTGAGGTATACATTGTAGACTCGTTCCCTTCGATTAGAGCCGGCTGGATGTCGTCGCAATCGATTTCGGGTGCTCTGGGGATGTACGTCAATTGTCCGCAATACACTCTCACCACCCAGTGTTGTCCCCATCAATGAGTATATGCGCATACACGCCTTCGTCCGCGATGCCACCGGGCTCAATCTTCGCTCGATGAGGATGCGTGACGTCGGCCCCACAATCTGCGCGTTCGACCGACCATACGTGTGTAGAGACCCATCTTGATGCCACTCCGCCGAGCTGTCGCTTCGTGGTGTGTGTGGTATCGCGGAGTGATGGAACGCGGTATTCGGCGAGTCGGGGGCGCGAGGGGGCAGGCATGACGCCTGTGCTGGTACGATGATGTTAAAGCGGCCAATCTCATGCTGTCAGACAGGTCGCAATGTCAAGTGGCCATAGGTACGACGCCCCCTTGCCTGTATAGGCGATGCGCATGTGAGTGTCGTGTGTGTGTCACGCGTAGCGTATTGCGCTCATGGCTGAGGCAACTCGATCGATCGAGGGTATAGCGAAATAGATATCGTCGCTGAATGTCGACGTGTATGCTTGCATCGAGGCAG